CCCCCCCCCCCCCCCCCCAAGTGTATTTGATGTACCATAATGTACCGTAGCAATAATACTGTAAATTATGTAAAAGATCAGATTTCATGCAGTTGGTCTTATTTCTTTCCTACTTTTAACAGTAAAAAGCAAAAATCGAATGCAGATTTCAGGTGGGGCTGGCAATCATTCATGCCAGAATCTGTTTAATGCCTGTTTAAAAAAAAAAAGCCAAAGTAGCGATGAACCCTTCTTCAAGCAATCCCTTTCCCTTTTTGTTCGAGCAATGAGATGGATGGAAAAAGTGAAAGAAAAATTCTTGTCTTGCCATGAAAGAAATTCCGTAAAACAGTATCTAGTATGTGAAGGCCCTCTTTAAATCCAAGCCAACCTTCCATCTGCCTTGATCCATTCCACCCCTCCCAGCCCACCATGCCTTCTGAAGCAACTAAACCTGATCCTGCTGCATTGTTACCCAGTGGGGATGATCAGAAGCAAAAACATCAGCTGGATCGTGAGATCAAAGAGATGATCACTGCACTCACTCGTCACCTTGGTGAACTTCAAAATGTTAACAAACGTGGAGGTACAACAAGCCAGGATGATGAGGATGATCATGGCGTGAGAATCATCACGCTCACTGGAAGCAATTATGGTGCCACAATGCAAAGCGCGTTGGAGGATATCAAAGCCAGTGACAACAGCAACCCTCAATTAGGTGTGTCACTTGGAGGAGGAGGGGGAGATGATCAGGATCAGGATCAGGAGGGTGAAGAATCACTGAGTACCTATGCGAACAGCAATATCCAAGCTATCAACAATTCAATCATGATGGGTGGTAGCTACTCCACCAACGATCCTGGTGTTCANAGGGTGAAGAATCGCTGAGTACCTATGCGAACAGCAATATCCAAGCTATCAACAATTCAATCATGATGGGNATCAGGAGGGTGAAGAATCACTGAGTACCTATGCGAACAGCAATATCCAAGCTATCAACAATTCAATCATGATGGGTGGTAGCTACTCCACCAACGATCCTGGTGTTCATGTGGATGTCTCTGAATATATTGAACACCAAGCCCAAAGCAAGCAGGGAAAGAAGGTCGCCAGCAAGAAGAAAGACAAGGAAACCTACAAAAGCGACCAACATTCCGAGTATTCTGGGTAGGCTTAATTGTTACCCCCATCATCGCAAACATGGTACTCCAAAAGCAAGCAATTATACTCTTTGCCCTACCTATCGTACGTATTTGAGTCTACATTATGAATAAGTGGGTGTTTACTATAATTCCCTATACTTTTTCATCGAAGCTTCCCGTTGGGGAGTGGGGGGGGGGTGTATTGTGTTAAGACTTTGACTGTGAGTGTATCAGCTTCATCGTATTATGGTTTACATCCTCAAGTGATGATGTGTTTTTATTAAAAGTACAATTATAAGTTAAAGTTTACTGTGTGCATATATTTATTGCCGGAGATTAATGTGTCCATGTATGGAGGTTTGATGAAACCCTATTTTTTTTTTTTTTTGGGGGGGGGGGGGGGGGGTTCCT